AGTGGTTAAAGGGCCCGCCTCTCGTTGCCGAGGGCGCGGGTTCGATCCTGGCCCGGGCAAGTACCAATGTGATTTTTCCGAATCATATGTACTTTCTAAGAGTATTTAGACATCACTGATTAATGTTGATTCCCAAAAGTGGGTTGATGTCAGGCAGGCGGCCGGTCGTAAAAACAAATAGCCAAAAACTATTCACAACATGTAAGGCAGACCCTGGCTATAGCTGGGAAATTGCCAGGTAGAAGAAGAAGATTAAAATTCTGTATTGCTTTTTCTTAATAAGTTAAAAATAACGCTTGAACGTAAAGCCGATTATTTTTTCCAATATTCATAAAAACGTAAAATTGTTATATATTTCAGCCATGTACAGTGGGCATATGTACTTTCTAAGACTATTTAGACATCACTGATTAGTGTTGATTCCCAAAAGAGGGTTGATGTCAGGCAGGCGGCTTATCGTAAAAACAAATAGCCAAAACTATACACAACATGTAAGGCAGACCCTGGCTATAGCTGGGAAATTGCCAGGTAGAAGAAGAAGAAGATAGAGTATATATAAATATACAAGTAAAATATTCTAAAGTACAAGAAGTTCTCCGGTCTGATTATCTGATCCCTGCACGCCCAATTTACGAAGCATTGAGACGGAAGTTTCGAAATTATTCATACAAAACAAATAAATAAAGATACTTTGATAAAATACTATATAACTCTCAAAGGAAAGTCACAGTTATTATTTTAAATGATAATTTTGGACATATTTGGATAAACGATGAATTTATTATTCAAAAACCATCCCATTAAACAACAACAGTGTTTCCACGTGTTTTATAAAACCCAACATATTCAGTTAGTTCTTGACTTTACTTATCAGTATTAAATACATCGCTTTTAAATATAAGTTGATTAACAATTATCAACAAATCTATTTACATCACATTATATAAGGATAAATATGTGGATTATATTTATATTATAAAGTAGTTCAATTCTTGTATAAATCAAAATATTTAGATCATTATATTGGCTTAGTTGTGTGAAAAACATACATGTAATTTGAGTTCACTTTTACCTGGTCTGGAATACATACAATTCAATTAGGAATTAGTTCATCAAAGAGGTATTTAGATTTGATTATACTAAGCTGTCTTTTAGTCAAAGACAAGTATGTATGTATGTCTATTTAAAGTATACAATTTATTAAGTAAAAGTGCTGATTTCTCTCAGTAATTATAATTTTGCATACGATCTCGTTGTTCGCTCACTAATAAACATCTTCATGATAATTTATTGCACTCGTTTTATAAATTATATCTTTATGGCTAATTCAATGTCATTATGTTGAATTAAAATTTCAACAATTACATTATTATTCATATAAATATATTAATCGGATTAAAAATAGGGATTTTACTATTTGTATAATATATATGTTAAAAAACGTATGATTATTAAAAAGTATGAATCGATTAATTGTTTGTACAAGACGCCACTTGATTTTTAATTATTAAATGTTTTTAAATATAAGTTATCTATTTCTAAAGATTTATAACGGAAAAAGATAATAATAAATAATCGATATTAATTATCACGAAGTAATTATTCTAATAAACTATAATATAAAAACACCAATTTGTCAGAATATACACCGAAATCGCGTTCCCGTCAGTCGCATCGGTGTAAGTGAAAAGCACTTTTATTTTTAGTACAGTACGGTTCACTTTTATTTGTTGTTTTAAGAAGTTTTAAAAATGTAGCTGTTTTCTCAAAGCGAATAGCTAGAGTGAAACGTGCCACGGTTAATGAACAACGATAGTCATGCGAGCCGACACAATATAAGGGATGCTATTAAATATTACATTAAATGTAACAAAAAAAACGTAAGTTTTATGACGTCATAACAAAAGAAAAATATTATGCTCTATATATTTGTAATTATTCTGATGTCTCAAATAGTTGCTGAAGTTAAAAGCAAATAAAAAGTAAAGCCGTTTAAATTAATAATTAACTGTTACCTCTTATTAATTATTAACTTTCATTAATAATTTATCTTTAATATTTCTTATATACTACGTGTGATTGATTTAATTAATAATATTATAATGTATGAACGTATTTGTATGTATGTAACATGAACATAAGTAGGTATGTATGTAAGGTTTTATGTTTGTAAATGTCTAAAGCAAAAACTACGATATTATCAAAATGTATAGTAACATGACTTATTTATCAGTATTGAATTTTAAAAACTTAACGGGTGATGTAATTTATCCAAAATTTTTATATAAACGAAGTCACAGGATTTAGCTAGTAAAATAATTCTGATATACTCGAACAAGTGCGTCTGTCACTCAAACTCACTGTTATGGTAAGTGAACACACTTATCAAATTATTGTTTGAAAGCATCACTAATATACCTTTTCTGTATTTACTGGTACATTGTTAGATGTCATTTGTGCGTTAAAAAAAGGTTTTATTACGTGGTACGGTATAAACAATTAATAATTATTAATCGTGATTGTTATGACAATTTGCAATATTCGTTTTTTTCATAGTAGGGTATGGTTTACTATATGCAAATACGTTTATGTGTGTGTGTATGTGTTTGTGTGTGTGTCTATATGTATCTGGTTTCACAGATGAGAGGATTAAATCGTCACCTTATATTTTTTTATATTTGACTATACATTTTTTTCAGCCCCAACTTAACAAATTAATCAAATCTAAAAATATCCTAACTATGTCATTTAATATCTTTGTTTCATTTTAAATATTAAATGTTCTGCTACTTCATACTTTAGTTGAATTTTTCAATATATTTTAAATTTTAATCTCATATCTTTATCATACAATTTATTTAAACTGAAAATTTATCATGCCTGAATGATCAAACCTAACTTTTTTAAACCTCGGATATATATCAGATATAATAGAAATGAATTTTACAAGTAAGTATAAATTGTAATGGCTTTTACTATTTTTATAGCGCTCACCATAATGAACCGCAGATCAAATTAAATTGTCAGTTTTATTTACTTTCAAATCAATCACTATAATATTGAATGTCGTTTTCAAATAATTTTGCATAGAAAATATTAAAAAGAAGTACATATATGATTTACTAAAATTATGTTAAGGAGATAAGATTATAGCGTGTTTCAATCTACGTCACGTTGGAAGAACAATAAAATTTCTAAACGCATTAGTTTATGGTACATGGTGTATGAACCCATAGTACTCTATGGTACTCTATGGTCAGACATCGTTATGTCCAATGTAAAGCACGTACATTTGCGTAACAAGTAGAAAGTGATACCTATATAATTATTGTCACTTTTCTTTGAGTCCTGCTTATAAATACGTGTTATGAAATATAAGTACGTACATATGTAATTACTTTGTGTTCCTGTGTAATTTCGCCTATTAGGAGCATTTTAAAATGAAATGAATAATACGAACGAATGAATGGAAAACCTAATTGAATGAATCACAGTCTGAGAGCAGGAATACATTTATTCATTCATTCATTTGTCTAGTTTGACTGGATGTTACTTAGATGCTTTCATATTTTTCTTCTAAGAATGTAGTGCACACAGTAATTGGGTACTTTTTCTTTGATAAAGTATTATGTTTAGTATGTTTTTTGCATTCACAATTTACTCAATTAAAGTTATTTTTTACGTTGAATTTTATTATTTTTAAATTACATTTAATGAAATACAAATCAAATGTCTTTATTGTTTTTGTTATTCGAAATGTGAACTCTATCCAGAAAATATGGATTAAAATCTACTCTTAGTAATACTGCATCACAAACTACTGATTTTAGATTAAATTAATATGTACAACTTCAGTAAAATATACAAATGTAATCTTAGCTAGCTGAGAAATAAAATATTTGGTAAATATTCACAAGATCAACGAACACAAACCATTACCATGACTTCACTTAACTTTATTGAAGATATAATAAAATAAACTTATAATAATTTAACAGAACATCGCCACACACATTGAATTAAGACGACTATTTCAACAGCAGTGGAGTTATCTTTAAACAAATGAATTAATAAAATCAGCACGTAATTTTAAAGATTTTTCATTTCAATATTTCTTTATTTTCTAACTCACTTTATTGAGGTTAATTTAGTTTGTTCAGTTAATAAAGGCAAAAAGTAAAATTCGGGGTAAATTGTATTCCTCCAGTATTGTATTGTGTTGTATAGTATCATTAAGATATATTCAGAAGGCTTGTATGAAGAAGTAACAAACAATAAATAGTTCTAGCCTTCCAGATTTTCGTGTTATAACAGTAAAAGTATTCATGCATAAGTACATAGGTATATTTCACGAAGTAATATATCATAAAGCTTTTGAAATAATGTAATATTTTGTTTAGATTTGATATAAAACAAGACAGTTAATAAACAAAAGCGTATCAAAATCCGTGGGAACAAAGAAGTTAGCGGTCACGGTCAGTTCCGCTCTATATCCAGTTATTTTCTTTTGCGTACATTTCATATTAACAAAAGAAATGTTTGAATTTTTAACTTAATTTCGTTTTTCATATATCATTCATATGAGACACAAAATAAAAACAAAATCATATTGAAATAATAATATGTGTAAAGACATTAAAAATAAGTATTTTTTTATTAAGGATATTTAGTAGGAAAACATTAAAAATATATTAAATTATATGTTTTGACCGGCTAACAGTTTCCATGAAAGTAAATGACAACGCCATTACATGGCTATCGCTTTCCTGTGGCAATTTGTCTTAATTTAGTAATGCCGTTATAACGACATAAAAGAAATAGAAAGCGTGACCTCCCGTATAAGTTCAAATATCTTATGACTATAATATGAATACTGTATCTTTTTCCAAGTAAAATTTTGCTTTTCAAATACTTTCGCGTATAATCTGGGGCTAATCCGCGGTAAACAAAAGTTGATACAAAACTCAAGTAAAGAACCAAGATGTCTTTTTCTTCCAGGAATGCGGCTATGGTTCGTCGCGCTAACACTACATGTTTTTTTGTCGAGCATCGAATGCGGCAAAAGGACACCTCATAACCGTCGTTCGGTGGGACATACGGTATTATATTAGAATAAAAATAATTTTATATATAAAGAAAGTGGTTCTAAGCGATTATTTTGTTTGTTTCAGAATTTACCAGTATCTAAGGGTGGCTGGAGGCCGGTCGTGGGTTCTGGTGGCCTTGTCTACGGACCCCTAGGAACCGCTCCACTTCACGCTCCATACAAAATCCCTCTCGTTGATTTATACCCATCATCGGCACGTCCAGTAACCGCAAGAGATGTCAATAAACTAACATCAATCGCTCAATCTTATCGACCCACCACTATAAGAACAGTCTCAGTATCACCACATGCTTTTCCCAATAATCAGCCAATTAATTCTTATCTTCATCAATTCGCTCTGCCAAATACCAATAACTATTACAAATTCGTACAAAATTTCCCAGCCGAAAATTTGTTAATTCGGAATCCACATAATCCTTACTCTGCTCGTCCAGTCTTGCAAAAGCAACAAACAAAGCAGAAACAACAATACCACAATAATATACTGCAGCAATTGACTAATGTACAGCCGGTTCAATTTGGGCAGTATCAAACAGCAAAACCAATAGATATATATAAACCGAATGAAGCGAACTCAAGACCGGATGGTAAGCGGCCACAGTCGGCGGAAACTGAGATCTTCAAACCCGAAGTATACAAATTACCTGACAGTTACACATCAAATCAGTATAATACCCAGCCCGTGAAGACTGCTCAACAGCAATCCTTTGGTCAACAAAAGCAATCCTTTAATCAACAACAGCAATCTTTCCCTCAACAACAGCAATTCTTTGCTCAGCAACAACAATCTTTTGGTCAGCAACAGCAATCTTTTGGGCAGCAACAGTATTTCGGTCATCTTACTGGGCAACAAGGGGGAGGGCAAAAAATAAACCAATATGGACATCCGTTCCAAGACACGATATCAAATTTCCAACAGTTCCCTCCTAGCATATTAGGTAATATTTTAAATTACTTGTCAAACACCAATTATGATACTTATGAAAGAAAATGAATGATGTATCTCACTGTATTTTCAGGTACCTTTGGATCATTTGGCGTTCAATCAGTTAAAGCAAGAGACCCTTATCCAGCTACTAAAACGACATATGCACCCCAACAAACAACAAAACAAGCTTTCTTAAATTCATTGAATTATTCTCCTAATTTATTTAAATCTACCCCTACCATATTTTCAACAACCACGCCAAAGTTAACCACAGCACAAAATAACCTATTATTTGGGTCAACTCTTAACAATTTGGGATTTACACCAACACAGCAAAGTAAATTGGCAAACCCATTGAAAGTCGATCCTAATCCTGATGTTAAAAACTACTTCAAACCAAGTCTCCAAGACCCCTTTATAAAGAATTTGCACAATATTGATTACAATAGAGTCACCACTTATAATCCTCAATCTCAACATACGTCTACATTAGCAAGTCCTCTTTATAAAGACTACAGTTACCAGTCGCAAAATGTTCCTGTTCATAAATATGATAACACAGATTCTAAATTGAACTATAACACAAATAAACATACAATATCGGATAGTGTCGGTCTTAATCAACAAGTGGCTCAGCAATATACCAGTGCGCCAGGCTTATTTGACTTGGAGAGCAGTCTGAACGCCTTATCACATCGTCCTTCATACGCTGTCGTCGAAAACTTTTCGGAAGATATAATAACAAGTGCTTCACCGGCTGCGTGGACAGTAACACCACAGTCCTATAGTGAAGAAGCAGTTACACAACATGAAAAACCAACAACTAGTAACCCTGAAGAATTTTCAATTGTTACAGAGAATGTAAGAGGTTATGAGGATACGGGAATAAATTACAGCACTGAGGTTGATTCTCAAAGTAGGCGCCCTCTAGGAGATGACTTCGAACCAATAAATAAAAATAAGCTAAAAGATTATTATTACAGAGTATCGACGCCAACGTCACATGAAGATAGGCCATATAAAAGATTAAAGAAGCCCACTGAATCTTACAGACTGGAACAAACAACAGAATCAAGTGTCAATAAAGAAATTAATAACATAGATGCCGAAACTCTGCCTACACTGCCGCCTAGTCTTCACTTTAAGAGACCTAGTACTCAGGAAACTGTTGACAAAGACAGAATCCGCAAACGAAATAAAATCAGAAGGCGTCGTCCACCGCAAGTAAACCGTTATAGAGAAGAAATTAGTACTAAAAGCGAAACATCCCCATCTGATGAAATCACTACCACAGTTTCATCCGAGATACATACAATACGACCACGGGTTAAGCCAACTAAGTCACGAACCGAACCTACTGCGACCACTCCCACTGTCACTACAGAATTAACGACCAGTGCTCTACCAACTACGTCTCCCACTAAACCTACATTGATAAAGAAGAAATTGTTAGGTTATCGTAGGCCGACCACAACTACCGCCAGTCCCGTGGAAACTACCACGACTACAACTACTCAATCAATAAAACAAGACATTCAGCAGGACGTGATTAAGGAATCATCTATAATGAAAATATTTTCGCGCCTTCAAACACCGAAAGCACCAGAACATTCTTACGAGAGGGTAAATGAAACTCCTGACTATAGTCATAAGCAAGACGAAAAGGACACTCCAACAAGTGACGTGTCCGTCAGTCTAACGGATACATTGAAGACGACCGACTCTATAAAAGAATATTCATTCCACAGAGATGCTCGACCTCTGGAAAACAAAGAAACGACCACTGAAACTTTAAAATTAAAGAAAGAAAATGAACCAACAACCACACTCCGTACCACAACTTCATCTCAGAACGCTGGTAAAATACAAAGAACAAGGCAAAAGAACAAATTAGACAGACCTAAATTTAGCGTTAAAGATTACAGGAGCCGCTTAAATTCCACTACAAGCACAACTGAAAAAATTGACAGCACCACTAAGGCCAAATTCCCTTCACGTAAAAGTGTATATACTGAAAGCCTGTTCAGTGATATCGAAACAACAACCGAAAGGAAAAAATTTACACCAAAAGAACCGCGACACAAACTTAACAGAACTGATAATAATGAACAGGAAATACATTCCAGACACAATAATAGAAATGGGCAGAAACAAAATACGGACGAAAATGGAGGCCATAAGATTTCATCTCGAGTGCGGAACGGTCAGCGGAGACAGAAACCCGTAGAGGATACCACCGAACAGGGTTCAACGACCCCACATAAAAGACCACAGAGGAAGAAACCTCAAGACTCTCAGATCGGAGAGTCGGTGCAGGACGTTACAGTAGTGGAAACAACATCGAACTCCGACCAAAGAAACGATGTGACTTCAGAAAGAAGTCGCTCTGAGAGCGCTATAATGAAGATAGCGGACAAGAAGCATCAGGATCACATTGAGCGATTATTTGAACATTCTAAACGAGTGTCAGACTTGACGTTAGCTGCCAGCAAGGATTACAATACCCCGGGTATGTTCAAAACGGTTTCTTCTAATAGTAGACGAATACCCAGCTACTTCACGATAGCCACGGATGACCCCATCCTGCCCATCGAGGCGTTCTTCCCACAGCTCAACCAAAAGAAGGAATCGTAACCCTTACATGTTTTGTAACAAAACCAAAACATTTTTTTCTGCCAAAGCATCAAAATCTATTTTCTAGTTTTATGCAATATTAGTGCTAGCATTTACGATACATATTACTTTGTAACCTGTTTTCATATGTTTTATAGGAGTGCTTAAAAATTAAATATATGAGTAACAGTATTTAAACATGTCTTTGATCAGTGTACTGTAATGTTTACAAATATGAACTATGTTGGTGCTCATTTTAGTAGTAAGTCTTGATAGTATTATGTGTGTGTTTATATAAATGTCTCTGTGTTTGTGTGTGTGAGTGAATGACTCTATATTTATATTGTACTGCTAGTAATTTAAACGTGTAAATAAAAAAAATTCTCATTATAAATAGTTTTTAATTTATGTCACATAAGTTATACATTATCTATATTCATGCCAGACGAGTTTCCTCTGCTTGTAATTTAGCCATTCGCTGTATACATTTGACTGCCGCCTGATGGATTGTTTTATCTAAAGTATCTGAAATAAATTATAGTACATATGTATTTGTACTGAAAATATTAAATATATACATACATATATAATATAATACTTATACTTACAAATTTTATGCTGCCCTTTAATTGGAAATCTTAGTCGTAAACTTATTGGGTTTGAGCAGATGAAAACATACGGACTATCACTCTCACCGTCTGGATATCTGGGAAAATGAAATATAAATAATATAGCTAGCTCTCTCATCATAAATGTAGATTTCATCATTTCAATTTGGCATTCAAATAAATTATTCAAATAATTATTTATATATCTAAATATTATATATCTTATTTTGTATATATTTATTAAAAAAAAAAAAAAAAATAGGTACGTCATCAGCCTATCAGCGCCCACTGCTGAGCGAAGGCCTCTTTCTCACAAGGAGAAGGTTTGAGCATTAATCACCACGCTTGCTCAAGACGGGTTGGTGATTTCAAACTTATAATTGTGAAACAAGTCGAGGTTTCCTCACGATATTTTCCTTCACCGTATGTCAGTGGTGTTTAAATACTCTCAGAAAGTACATAGGACTCCGAAAAATCACATTGGTACTTGCCAGGTTTGAAACCGCGCCGTCGGCAACGAGAGGCAGACCCTTTAACCACTAGGCCACCACTGATTTTGTAATAAATAGGTAACAAATTATTAATAATATTACTAGATTAGTTAATGTATCTCACTTCTTGGCGTACTCCTCCTGTGACAGACAGTCGTCGACCGTCACACATCCCAGGAGACAACCCGTGGGATAGAAGGACGGGAACTTTATTTGCTTCTCTGAGAATAAATTAAAAAATTAATAGTTGATCTAATTAAAGAAACATATAAAAACACAATAAATGTCTATCGTCTACTGTCTTTAATAGTTTAATGAACATTAAACATTTAAGTGTTATAAGTATAAGATTTTATATATATGAAGAGGTATTTATCAGCAACAAAATTATTTCCTATTAACTACATACATTACAAAAATATGCGTTCCCACGTTGCCTCCTACTGTACAATGTACATGTACATGCACGCACACATAAACATATGCCATCCATCTCTTTCCCTCCGCTTATCTTTCTCACACACACATTCACAATAACTGCTTATATATTTCTTTCTCTATCTCTCATATACAAATTATCTATTTCTATCTCTCTCTCTCTTACCTGGATACAACACACTGTATTGATTCTCTAATGCTCGTACAACACTGTCTTCGGGAGCGCGCACCGTGGACGCTATCCACAGTCGGCCGCGGTGTGACGTGTACCAAGTACGACCTTCGTGCCTTTAAATAAACAAAAGGAAAACAGACTACAATACCATTTTCAACACGGGCGAAATATCAGAAACACAAAATGCATGATATAAATTATAAGTCATTTAAAATTTTACCAATATTTCTTTTCCGTCAAACATTTAAAAGTTAAGGGCTTTTAAAAACAACTAAGTACAATTAAAACAATGCAACTGAATTTCAACTTTTGTTACAAATCATTGGTTTATAAACACATGTCATTTACATTATTTATAACTGGCAACTATTTTTGCTCGGAACAAATTATGCACATACGATTTGATCCATAATGAAATTATTGAAGCTTACTAACATCTTGATTCCTTCCACGAGTAGCGAGGCCCAGGGTTGGTGCATGGAGAGACAGCGCCCAGTGTCACTCATCTCCAACAGTTGTCCGTCTTGAACACGCCCTGTCACGCCCCACGACTGAGAAACTCCAATATTACTTTGACCGCCAACCGATGTATCGAACTGTAAATACAATAGGTTAAAAATTACTTACAAAACAATTACTCTTCTTCTATTACCGATTATTGTCAATAAATTGGTTATATTACAATACAGTAATACGTCGATTTAACATATAAAATGATAATTTAAAGGTTCAAATTTGAAATGAATACGTTTTATGACATTTTGCCCTATATGTTGACATATTTTCATATAACGTATTTATTTCAAATTTGAACGTATTAAAAATGTATTAGTTAAATTGAGTTTTGAAGTATTTTTTTATATTATTTTGAAATTATTAATTATTCTATCAAATATTATTTATATTTTTAATACCTTTAACAATGGCGCGTTGACACCGGGCGCGACGTCTCTGTCGGCCGACGAGTCGAGCAACAGATCCGGTGTCAAAAACTGACTGCTATTTGTATTATTACTAGTAATTTGTCTGATCTTGTCTTCATCTACCTCGTGATCTAATGTCTTCTCTTCGATTATTTGACGACCTTGTAATTGAAAAATATATAACTATATAGTCATTTAGAAATGTATATAGGTATAAAACATATAAGTATAAAAAAAACATTTAGAAATGTAACAAAACTAAGTTACTCCCAAAGAGCCTATCTAAATAAAAATTGTTTAAGTCAACCATTTTATTTGTCTTTCATTTTCGAATTCTATAACAGGACATAGAGAAATAAAATTTAATGAGTATTTAGGAATAAAGAAAATTTTTACAGCCCAAACAACCAATACGTAAATTTCTGGTAAGAGTACAGATCTAGAAAGATCAGAAAAAAAGAAATATAAGTAATAATTACCAGCGAAATCGAAGGTCATCTTCTTGTTAAGTCTGGACGCGTGTTTGTTTTCATGCAGCTTCTTCTGGTACGCCTGCAGCTTATCTCGTTCTGATGAGCTCAGCCACACGCTGTTCGAGCTAAAGTAATCGCTGTCATCGTCTGTCACACGAGTACGACGCTCGCTGTAAACAAATTAATATTATGAAACCTGTTTATTAGAATGTTTTGTATATAGAATCTCAATAGTAGGTAACACAAATTTACAAAAAAAATAGGACTGAAGTCAACTGTATACCTACATATGTATATATATATTAATGGCTTATTGACTTAAAAATCCTAATTACCTTTATTTACCCGTATATTAGAATCCCGAAACGAATTCGTTTTTTAATCATTAAATACTCTTAATGGAGACAATATTGCTTAAAAGTTTTAGTGCAATGGTAGACCGCCAATGTGAAAATGTCCACTGTTCATGTAATAATATTTAATATAAATGAAAATATATTTAATAGAGCGGTACGCAAGAAAATTAAGAAATCGATGGCGGTAGGAGATAAAATAACCAGACCAACTGACAGACACTCACATCTCGTCTGCCCGTGATCACGGTTACTGAACAGTAGCCGAAACGTCGGGAGTATGTAGTTTTCTAATCAAAAATAAAACGCGAAGTAAAATCCGAAAAATATTAGTTTCATTTAAAGGAGTACTCGCGAAAATCTTAGATCTCATTATCTTAGATCTCATTAATATTTAATATGTTTATTAATATTTAAATTATCATAAAACAACATTACCTTGTTCTATCATATTCAAGCAGCCTATTCCGTTGGGAGATGGCAGCTTCCCATCCTTTTGGTCGGTTCCGTTCCATTAAGGATTCCATTAGTTTAGCGCTAGACTTTGTTTTTGCGTTTATCTCTCTTTGTTCTTCTGGAGTACAAACCTACAGAAATTAATAAATATTGTACTATTTTTAACAAAAATTCTTATTTAAATGTCTAATTACTACTGAAATAAAAGACAAAGATGTCATTTATATATAGTAAAAAAAAAGTAAAAAATAATATACATACAAGATTCCCACAGAACAGACAAGGCCCGGAGCCCTCTTGTTTGCAAACAATTCGACCACACTGCAAACAGTTATTAACCAAATCATGTTTAGAAGCTTGACAGTCACAGTGATGGCGACCTGAACAAAGATAAAGTTTGTTGTTACATTTAAATTTACTTATAAAAATATTCTTTAAAAGTATGTTAAGTATGTGTTTGATGAAATAATTTATTATATTATAAGTAAGAGTTGATTATAAGTAAGAGGAGTCTTTGAAACTTATAGGAGACTATTACAACCATCTTGGTAGATAAGACTTGATAATAATGGGTAAATGGTTAAAGTAAAAATAAATTAATAGGAATAGAAGTAACTTTTGTTTTGTTTTTCTATTTTAAGATTGTAAAGATAATGATATTTAAAATGTCTACAAATATAATAATTATATTTTATCACCTCTTACCTTTCAAAAACACAACCTGAGCATTCTTGCCTTCTTGTGAATATAAGTTAACATATTTAGTTTTCTTTTTAGATTTATTTTCAATCTCAGTAACTGGTTCTTTTGGTATATCCGTACTAACAAACTCTTGTTGCTGTTTATTCTTTGATATTTTCTTCTTTTGCTGCTTTGATTGGTTTCCAGCTTTTAAATTAAAAATAAATCAAAAATATACTACATCAATCATTACAATATTCTAAAATTTATATACATACCTCTATTGGAAAATTTTTTCTTTATCAATTCTAAATAGAAGTTCTTGTGTTGTGAATTGTCAAAATCTAATAAAGTTCTAAGGTAATCATTTAAATCACTTTCTTTCTCAATTGATAAGATGTACCTGAAATAGTAATATATTTTATTATACATATATTCGACGAGATAAAACACATTGAAACAGGGTTAGATTTATGAATAGGATAAGAACAAGATGGTATTATATTTAACATATTTTGAAATACAGCAATATGTTTAGTTAACTTATTAAATGAAAAAAAAAAATGTTATACTTACTTTATTAAATCCTCTGGAACCTCAAAATCTAATATTTTAGATAAACCTTCACTAAGCCACTGATCCATTATAAACCGTATCAAAGTTGCACAATAATTCACAATTTTAGAGATTTTACGGAATATGAAGTATGTTTAAACAGTCACCAGAATTCAGTTTAACTAACTTTAAGGTTAAACGTTGTCAATGTCATCAATATACTGTCATCAACAGCTGATTAAGTCCATTTCATTACCATAAAACAATTATAGGAAAAAAATCTATACTTATAATAAATCTGTAGAGCGATCAATTCTGTACATAAAATATATTTAAAAAATAACTATCAGGGAGTGGTTAGAGATCGCTACTAATGACAAAAATGCAATCAGTAAAATTTTTGTCTGTCTGTCTGTCGGTCTGTATATTCGTTATGGAAACAAAAACTACTGGACGGATTTTAACGAAATTTGGCACAATTATTCTTCATACTCCTGGGCAGGTTACAGTATACTTTTCATTACTCTACGATAAATAGGAGTAGAGCAGTGAAGAGAAATATTTGGTAAACGGGAGAAGTTACTCCATTTTTTAAGCTTCCGTCGCGTGTGTAGGCTTATAGATTAAAGCTACATAGAAATCATGTATGACGGAAATATTCTCCTTAAAATTATATAAAAAGTATTCCTCGACGGCATATGTCTATCTTTTATTGCTGACTCACAATAACATGTAAAACTCCCGATAGCTTAGCAATTCGGAGATTTCTGATTGTATTTGTCTACTCAAACGTTTACAACGCTATAACTCATCCCTAATTGTCAAAAGTTAACATTATGACCTATTCAATAAAAAAACAATCATGTAAATCGGTGTAGAAAAACACCAAAGTTATCTTCTTCTGTACTTATAATAAATCTGTAGAGCGATCAATTCAATAATCAAGGAGTTACACGCTGACGGAGTCGCGGGCACAGCTATCTATATTTTTCTGCCAGAAGTCACTATTCCACGCGGACGAAGTCGCGGGCAAAAGCTAGTATATAATAGCAATATAATTTATAAAAGGTTATTTTTTTATTTTTTTAAGGAAATTCTAATTTCCATTAGCTCTCTTAATACAAGAGTAACTTTACCAGGTTTCATGCCATTGATGAGATATAAATCCTACTAATATTTTGAACGCGAACTTTTGTATGGACGGACCTTTGTTATTGTTTTACTCAAAAACTATTAAATGGATTTAAATGAAACTTAATAAATAGAACTTATACATCAAATCATCACAAAGTATAAAAATGTTTTGTGAATTATACAAAATATGTGTAAACGTATAAAGTAAATAGAAAAAATCTACCTGCTCCCTGCTCTATCGTGCGCTGATTGAAATATATTTTTTGGATACATTTGGGTACTGCCGCATATGGTTTAAATTTTCAAATCTCCGGGCAGATGGCGCTGCAGTTGGTTTCTATGTTATTTGAAATGAAAAGGCTGATACGAATTTTACTATATGCATACATTTGCACAACCGTGATGCTTACGCAGAGAGAGTCATGAACAAATATAGTTGTTGTAGGTCTATAATCCTTTTAGATATTTGGATACATATGAAACAAATTCTCTGTCTCAGTGTCCTAACCCAACACCTGTGTAAATTTATTTTTAATCCTTATTGTCAAATTTATATGTAATAGATAATTAATTAATATGATGATTGCAATTTTTTATCCTCTATCAATCTCGTTTCATTTTATATTTTTCTTTTATTAAAAAAATTGTCAATTAAATACAAAAACCAGTTTTTATATTATTTTCTAAACATATATATAAAGAAGTTTCTATTCGTGGTTTTAGAAAGTTATAATTACTAATTAATATTCATGCTTTGGATTAATTTTCCAGACACGAAAAAATATTTTCAAGATATTCTATCCAACTGTCTGTTTAAGGTAATCTTCCGAATAAATGAAAATAACTTTGTGGAACTACGACCATATTTTTGAAATGTAAATCATACTAAAAAATAGAATATTATTATCTTAAGTACTTCTGACTTTAGTTATAAGGTCTGTATAAACAAAAATTATTGACTTTACAATTGGGAAGAAATTTCAATAAATAAAATTAATATTATTCTGGTATAAAATAATTTATATTTACAAATAACACAGAAGCAATAAATAAAACAGTTCATTTGGCCTCAGTACTCAGTACTTGCAATAAATACAGTACCCGTTCCCTCACATTGCTTAATGCCTTGTTCAAGTTTTCCGATATCTGTGTCAATAGATGTTTTTCTTCTATTATCTCTATAATAGTTTTGTCCTGTATCTGTTCAGGGGTCAAGAACTGTTTGAGCAACTCCAGTATGAGTTTGTCTTCATCACGTTTCCATTCGCACGGTTCATGTTTAATCCCTTCATCATCAGACATCACCAACATTGACATATCCGATGAGTTACTGTCCTGCATTTCAATTTTTGTGATATTCAAGTCTGTCGTTTCGTTAATTTCCTGTGATAATATTGAATATATATAATTTGTATGTTACTGAAAGAAAAATCTATTTTGTTTTTTACTCACGTGTTTAATTGTAGAGAATGGTTTTCTATTTTCTTTATCTATTTTAATTGTGCTTGAGTTTTTTTCAACTAATGTTTTTTCGGCATCTTCTTCATCACTAAAATGATACAATTTTTATTTTATATTTTAGCTTATTAGATACTAGTATAAAGAACATTGTCACATATAAAGTGATATATTGGAATTGATCAATCGTTTTCAATTAAGTACAAGGCTTGTATAGATGGAAATTGGTAATATAATAACTTCAGACGTAATACGTATAATAGTTTAGATTCAAAAATATTAAGGAAGTTTAAATTATGTAAGAAAATATAATAAAAATAAAAGTACATAGGTATATTCAAAAAATCATAATAACCTTGTAGAATCATCATCCGCTTCATAGTCAATAATTTCATAAGTTTCCTCACACGTCACTACTGTGTCATTCTGTTGATTTTTGTTCACTGGTTGTGACATGTCAGTGTCATTTCTTTGATTAGTCACTGTTTTAGGGTTTATGTTCGTTAAATTTATGTACGTCTGTTGAGATTTGGAATTTTTTAAGTCCTGCCTGTAAATAAAAGTTTACTAATTAATATATTAAAAAATATCATACTAGATACCATCTGTAGCGCGCCTTATTTTAATCTATTCTTATGTTCTACAGACCAGAGAATAAAAAAAATTGTTATTAGATATGGTGTCACTATTTTTTAATACGCTTTTATTTGCTTTACATGTATGTTTGTTTTGCATGTGATCAAGTTCTTTGAGTCAAAATCGCGTAATACCAAACTAAAAAGTATAGAATATTTTTCCATATAATTGGGTGTATATACATATATTATTATTACAAAGCATTAGCATGTACCATTTTAATGAATTAATAATTTTTCATAACTTACATTTTGACCTAGAAAATATGATTATTCTAATAGAGTACTTACTGTTTCCATGTGTGTGGGAACAGTTCAAATGTGTATGTAGCGAGTTCTGGCTGGTCGTGCATGTGTTCTAACAGATGACAACACATCTCACACGCGGTCAAATTACTGTATATAAATGAATTCAATTCGCCCAGAAGCTTATCATGAATTGGATTCCCTTTTAATTTCTCCTAGAAAAAAACAATTAATACGGAGATCATTTTTAACATAATATTACCTCTTATAGAAGATTATATATACAAAAAAGTTGCTTATTTTATTTCCAAAAACTTTACCAATAATATTAATAATGTGTACCTCAATTTTCATTATTAAATCCTGCATGCAGCTTGTGATGAAATAATCTTTGAATTTATTGATTTCGTCAGCTTGCTTTGGTGTTAAAAACATAAGGAACTCATTGTATAGATCTGCTAATTCAACATCAAACATTTTATGCAATTCATTAGCTAAATGCAAAGGATTCCCTTCATCTATACTGAACTTCGACAAAGTATTGTTCACTTTAACCTTCATTCTGTTATCTCTCGCTATGTTGGCCCTTTGAATCAATTTAATTTGATATTTCATTGCATCAACTGAAAAAATATATATATATATTATTACATGCCTGTTTTAAATTATTTAAATAATTTTAAAGGTCCACTTACTAAAATCTCTTTGATTAATGTCTATATCTTGTTTCTTTCTTGACACCGTCTTTATATTTTCTATTCTTGCCTTCAAATCATTATACACAGTCACTGATAACGACTTGTAACTATTTACTAATAATTTCAATTTATTCGTCACATTTGGATATTTCCTATTCTTACATGCACATACTTTAATGGACTTTTTGTTACTATTAAAGTACTCAGTTATTAAAGACTGTCGAGTTTTACATATTCTACGCAATAGATGGCAGCACTTGCAATGACCTTGTTTTTCCTTTTCCATCTCTATAATTTGGTCTCTCGTGTCGGCGAAATTGTTTATGACGTCATCCATTTTTAATCTCGCCGAATTTTCTGGTAAATTATTCAACACTACCGGCGTACTAATAGGAGCTGTTGTAGTATCAACGGTGTTAGTTGTAACCCGTAATGGTATCAATTTCGTTCCTTCGCTCGTATTTACAAGAGTGAATATATTAGCAGCTATAAAGACAGTCGAGGTCGGGGTTTCTTGTGTTGATATGGGTATATCTAATTTGTTTGTGAGGACTTTCTTGGGTCTCTGTATGACGTTAATTCTACCGCTCTCTATGGGTTTCGTGAAGTCTATGGGTAGAGGATTTTTTTGTTGCGGTAACACATTCGTTGCTACTTCCACTCCCGCTGGTTGTATTGTTGTTTGAGTCTTACGATACAGAGAATCCTGTAAAACGATATATTTTATTATAAACCTTATGAATTTAGACACAATTAAATTGTTCTCCAAATCATTGAATAATTATTTAAGTACTGAAAACAAGTAGTGAAAGACGCATGAAGAAACTAGGTGCCTAGATAAAATAATATATATGTATGTGTTTGTAAATTACTATATAATACATACCTTGAACCGTTTGCTTCCTTTAGCCAGGTATCTAATCCATATTCTTGGTATTTCAAACTCCGGTTGTTCGTATAGCGTCAGCGAGGGGTTGAAAGGTAGTAACTTGTGTTTAACGGGGACTATCGTGCCGTCTTGGAAGTATTTCTGAAAATTGTATATATTTCAAATGATTTAATCTGTGTAATTGAATTACAAGTTTTCTTTTATCAAGGGAAAATCTTATTTACCAGAGCTGTCCAGTCATGTGAAATACAAAATGAACTATTATCTCTAAACATTATTTTTATTACCAATTACAGGTAAGTTTTTGTTTTGTCAATATATTACGTCCAGCTTAACATTACTTCTAAACCAAATAGGGTTGTCACTACATAAGTTTTACTTACAACTATAGGGTTGTTCTTGTCTCCGGTCCTCCTCACTAGGTGTACATGTCCCAGTAATGAGCGCACGTTCATCCAAGGGAACATATACTTGCAGGTCAGCTCAGCAGCTGTTGATAGACTCCACCGCTTGCGAGGATGCACGCGATGAGGCTTCTTGTATAGCGAGGGATTGTCTTCGATGTATTTTGAGAACTGATCCAAACCTAGCACCATCAACCTGTATGATGAAACATATTATTACTGTCCAGTTGGACTAACGACAAAAACTCTTATGATCGCTGACAATTTTTTTTTTATTCAAAGTAGCAGGTGTTTATACATCTTTGGGTACCCCCTTTTAAGTATATCAATACCTGTAGTAGGAGGTCCCAGTACAGAAGGACAAATATATGAATATACAAGGTATGTTAGGCATATCCTACTAATATTATAATTGCGACAGTTTGTGAGTGTGTGTGTATGTTACTTCTTCACGCTCAAACGGCTGAACCGACTGTAATAAAATTTTGTATACAGGAAGCTGACGTCCGGGAATAACACATAGGCTACTTTACATCCCGGAAATCCGCGCTTAAGCTAGTTTGTACATATAAAGTTAATTATTAATAAGCATATCACTGACTCGTCTTCAGATATGAAGTAACCGTATTTCTTGTTAGTGAAGTCGGCTCTACAAGGGCAGGGCGGCAGCAGATATGGGTAGAGGAACACCGAGCTGTTGCACACCACACGCTTGAACATATCAGGGAAGTCACCCAGGTGCACGCTGTTCTGAGATATACGTTTGCGACTGGAATAAATGAATAAGTATATACAGGGTGTATGAAAAACTGTGTCAACCCTCTTAACTACGTTATCAGTATCGATTATGTAACACAATAAAACAACTTACATTTACAAACTCTTCAATAAAAATAATAAAATTAAATATTAAATGATTATTATATGTAGAGTAACAAAATGTTTGTAAACCCTGGTATAACACGATGACACGCAATGACGTCATCACAGCTGCTGCGCTACTAGTGACGACCTTGAAGTTACTTTCACATTATTGAAAATATCGATATTTAAAAAATCATAACAAGAAATAAATATTTAATATTCATATTATTTCGATACTTATTTTGATAAATCAAACATTATTATTATGTTTGATTGCAAAACACCATTTTTAACAGAAATAGATTAACGATTTATCCTAATAATACAACATAATATGTAGTTAATTTACCTGAACAAGTTTCAAATTATAATATTTATTATTAATAAAAGTTATTTTAAATGAAATTATTTTAATGTGAAAAGCATAACTATTTATAGCAATATTGAAAATGTCGATAGAATATTTATCGATATGACAAATTTTTACACTTTCAAATCTCTATTCGAACAACTAACAGAATAGTAATAATAACGCCGGCGGCCCGGCGCCCGCGGTCAATGGTCACGCATGCGCCGTAGCGACTATACGGTATCTTGACCTTGTATGAGTCAGATGTTTGGTACATTTTTTCGAATAATGTCGATTTAAAACTTATTTAGCCTATGCACTGTAACTGACCTCTGCTTGATATTTTTTAAGTTATACTATTTTTTATAATAAGCTTATACTTATATGTATACATGCCTTCAAGGGTTGACACAGTTTTTCATACACCCTGTATAATAATGACTATAGTTTAACAATTATAAGTTTAATATCACCAACCCGTATTGAGCAAGCGTAGTGATTAATGCTCAAACCTTCTCCATGTGAGAAGAGGCTCAGCAGTGGGCTCTGATAGGCTGATGACGACGACGATTATAATGATGTTTATGATATTCAGTGTAATCTAAATTCAATGTAATATAAATTCAATGTAATATACGTGTACTAAGGTAAACTATTTTTTGTGATACTACGACCTATTTTTATTACTTTTTTTACTTGTTCCCGAGTTTTAAGCAACTTATGTAAACTTTAATGATATTGCTATTTCAATGTATAAATCTTTTTTTCATCTAGTGTAAGGGCAGAATAGCTTAATTATCTAAAACGCTAGGAAATGACAACTCAGATATAGGATATTCGAATCCTATTTTTATATAAACACTGCTTATTTCATTATTTTCAATGATAAACTTAGAAATTGTCAATAAACATACCTTCTCTCAACTTCCTTTTGAATAAATCTGTAACATAAATCATCAAATATTAAAATATTTCAATGAAATGCACATAATTTACATATTACATATATAGATACAACACAAGTCAGTGGTGGCCTAGTGGATAAAAGGCCCGCCTCTCATGCACGAGGGCGCGGGTTCGATCCTGGCCCGGGCAAGTATGTGATTTTTCCAAGTCATATGTACTTTGTAAGAGTATTTAGTCATCTCTGATTAATGCATTCCCAAAGAGGGTTGATGTCAGGCAAAACTATTCACAACATGTGAGGCAGACCCTGGCTAAAGCTGGGAAATTGCCAGGTAGTAGTAGAAGAATACTATGTACAACAATATTAAAACATATATATATATACTCACTCGACCATGCGCGCGTTCTCTGGTGTGTTCTCAGAGACGGAGTCCTCCCAGCCCTTCACCAGTTCCAACGCCGGCTTCAGATTACAAACATTAGCCACCGAACGTGGGTTGGCCCTCGTTAGTTTGTCTAGAGATTCCTTAAACAATTGATAATCATAATATATATACTAGTCTTATCGATCTCATATATCTCAGTGATTTCTTCCATACTATGTTCTATTAGTTCTATTTAGTATTAAACGCGTTTGTCATATGTGGGTTAATCTTTTTTAAAAACTACCAGTTAAATTTTACGTACATTTTACTTAATACTTATATAGTTAGAATGATGAAAAAGTCAAAGATCAAAGCAGAGCTAAAACTAAAATTTAATTTCTAAGTTTATATCCACGAAATATATCAATAGATGTAATAAAAAAATTATTAACATATTACACATACCAAGTACTCTTTATATTTGGGAGCGTGCGCCCAGTGTACAGGGTGCACGTATAGTTGTAGGAAGTAAGTAGTCGACAACTGTACGTGTTGACGCAGCTGCTGCTCGAGTATAAGAACCTGCTCCGGGTGTATCTGTAATATAGAAATAACAATACTTATCAATTAATATACTGAGAGCAGGAAGTATAACAACTCTATGTAACCTAATAAACGATTTGTGCCTGTCCATTAGACTAGTACTACTAGACTTAGTACTAGTATTTCGATGGCAATCCTAGTAGATTGATTTCAAATTTGGTTAGGTACGTAGAAAAGTTTGAACGGTGGATGTAAGTGTTTAACGCTAATTAAGCCCTTAAATCTACACCTGTATCGCAACGTAATGGACCCGGCACATTAACGATGAATCTATTGAATGCTGAGAAGTTTCGACTCCTTTTTTATATATATTAATCCTGCCTTTGTGTGTGCGTTCAATAGTGTGTATGTGTTAATTTGTGTGTGTGTGTGTATATATATAAGACCTGTATGTCTGTCTCCACGTGTACGCTCACAGCGGTGGGCGGGGCGTCCTTCTGTGCCAGGTGTCTGAGGGGCGCGGGCGGCGTGAGGCGCGGGGAGAGGGGGTGCACCCCCGCCACGTGCTCCACCACTGAGATCTGAACCGTACCGGGAGCTGTGCTGGAAGAAGGGTATCATTATATTAACGACGATATATACTAACTGTTAAGTCAGTGGTGGCCTAGCTGTTAAAGGCCCGCCTCTCGTGCAAGAGGGTTCGAGTTCGATCCTGACAAGTACCAATGTGATTTTTCCGAGTCATATGTACTTTCTCAGAGTATTTAGACACCACTGACATACGGTGAAGGAAAACATCGTGAGGAAACATGCACTTAAAATTTCACAATTGTAAGTTTGAAATCACCAACCCGTCTTGAGCAAGCGTGATTATTGCTCAAACCTTCTCCATGTGAGAAGAGGCAGTGGACTCTGATAGTCCGATTATGATCTACTAACCAAATTCATATAATATTAATTTTCATGTACTGTATTAGTCTTGTTTAATCATTTAAGAGCATAATATCGAGTACATAAGTATATTACTTTAACATTTGCAATTCACATAAAATAATACGAAATTATAGTAATAAAATTTAATTAAAATATATATGAAGATGGTTACGAGACACTCAAAGCATTTCATAACAGATAGCCACACCTGACTATACATGTCTCGGGCGCGTGACTCTCCCCGTCATTTTTCGTCACATTACTTCTCTCGTGTTCAACATCTGCCGGCTCCTTCTTGCCGACGTACCTCGGCTCGTATGTGTCCACAGGTATCGTTAGATTCATCTCTTCGTCTGAAATCGGTTCTTGTTTTCCTTCCCATGTTGCTTTCACCTGTATAAAATAATATATTCATTAATTTTAATTGTAATAAAACATATTTTGTTTCGATTTTGGTGATAAGTGATAATACTAAAGTCAGAATTATTTGTGTCCAATATTACACACTGTTTTAGAGCTCACAACCACAGATAAATAATAAATAAAATTTAAATGTACATAATATATTTGTTCTATCTGTTTTTCCGACTAATATCTAGAAGGTTAGGACAGATTTTGAAGGTAATTACATCCAAATGGTAGTTGCAGATAATGACATAAGGACTAACTATATTTCAAATGACTTGAAGAAGGTTGAAGTTCTTAATTCTACTAAATATTTAGGAAACTTCAATAAAAGGCGAATTTATAAATATTATTTTAATAAAAAGACCATTATCGTGAAGTAGTTCTGTTGTCAACCAGTCTGGGTACTCATTCTCAAGAGTAACATGTTAGCAAAGTCGGAGGTAATAGTTAGTATATGATAAAAACAATCATAAATATATTTTTATCCTACCAATTTTAACTAAAACAAGATAACAAATACTGAACTTTATGGATAACAAAATAATATAATTATATATTAATACGTCAATCTAAAACTTTGGATCCCCTTTTACGAAAATTGGACGGACGTAGGAGTATGAAATTTCTCACACTCATAATTTATACAGAGAAGAAGTGACTATTCCTTATGTAAAATGTATAAGCTTTACACACAAAAATACACATTTCTACGAAATAACGCGTCACACACACTACCATTCATGTATTCAATACACACATGTATATATCCCTAAAAATATTATAAATGCGAAAGTAACTGTCTGTTACGCTTTCACGCCTAAACCACTGATTTTAATGAAATTTGGTAATTATTGACGTTCATTAAATTTGGTAATTATCAGGTAATTATTGTAGACATTACGAAGTAACACACACACTACCGTTCAGGTATTAAATACACACATATTATATAGATACTAGCTTTCCGCCCGCAGTTTCACCCGCATGGAGTTCGGTTATATCGCGTTTCCAAGATAACCTTTCAATAGTCTGGGATAAAAACTATCCTGTTCTTTCTCAAGGTCAACTCTATCTCTGTACCAAATTTCATTAAAATCAGTTCAGTGATTTAGGCGTGATAGCGTAACAGACAGACAGACAGAGTTACTCTCGCATTTACAATATTAGTAGGGATTCTTTTGTGCATTGGGTATCCTAAGATAATATATAAATCATATTAAACTACTCTAAACCTTATCTAAGTCCATCATATCTCGAGTCTCATCTGTGACCCCCATCTCCCCGGCCAGTTGTTCCTCGGAGCCTTCCGGCAACACATTGAACAGCTCCGTCACCAAATCATTGAGTTCCTTTTTAGATATTTTTATGATACTATTCTCTAACCCCTCTTCGTCTTCTTCGTCTGTAAAGAAACATAATGACTATTATTCTTATTACTATAGACGATAGTAAAGTCAAGTTAATAAAGTATACGAGTTTTCATAATTAATGAATTAGAGAATCATAATTATATTTATCCAATATGAAAATTTAATCAGAAATTATTATTAATATATGTTCCCCAAGAATAGCTCTTAATTTTTGTATTTTTGAACTATTTATATCTTTAAAAAAAATCCGCGCTAACTTCCTTGTGGTAATATTAGGAGATATGAAATATAAAAAATATATTTACTAAAGACTGAATGTACATTGAGATAAAAACCTAATAAAGTGTAAATTTAATGAACAAAATTAAATTGAGAATAATAAAGTTATCCAGAATAATGCTACTGAAAGAAAACTTCTAATAACACTATTTAATTATTTTAACTACATACTCCCGACGTTTCGGTTACTTAGCAACCATGATCAAGGGCAGACGAGATGTGAATATTCGCCTAATGTTCTAAAATGTTCTAGAATGTTCCAGAATGTTCTAGAATGTTCCAGAATGTTCTAGAATGTTCTGGAATGTTCTAGAACATTTCATAGTGTAATGTATGACGTAACATGTCGTACTAGCGTCAGGGTCAGCGGCCACGTTGTACTCGGGGTCGGCCTCATCGTCTTCCTCGTGCCTGTTGCTCGAGGCGGGGTTGAGACACTCCTCCAGGAACTTGTTCCAGAGGTCATCGACCGCGGGCATGGGGATGTCATCGGGCGGTATGAACGAACTCTCTATATGCTCTATGGACGTCGACGACAAACTCAGCTTGGACCGAGTACGGAGCGCTATAGTCGCCTCCTCCTCTTTTGATGATTTCGTCGTCAATTCCTATTGAAAAAAAAATGGTTGCACATTATATACATTTACTAGCTGCGCCCCGCGGATTTCCGGGATGTAAAGTAGCCTATATGTTATTCCTGGACGTCAGCTTCCTGTATACAAAATTTTATGAAAATCGGTTCAGCCGTTTGAGCGTGAAGAAGTAACAAACATACACACACTCACAAGCTTTCGCAATTACAATATTAGTAGGATTACGTAAACGATATAATATACGGCCTCTTTGTTTCTATTAATAGAAAATTCGAATTTAATAAACAGTATGATAGAGACTATATTTCTTTACCTGAGGTATTTTAAACGGTCCATCTTGAATAGGTTCCACAGTCTTCTGTGTGTGAGGCGTCGCCGGGGTTCGCGGTTGGGACTCCAAGTCGCTACAGGATTCTAAAGCGTGCTCATCGTCGCTCTGAAAAATAATACATATCAAATTAAAAGATAATAGCACGTATTATTGATGTAGGATTTCTTTTAACATAAAAAGAAAATTTTAAATTTTTTGTATTGCAATACCGTTTTTACGCATTCAAGAATACTTTGAAATGAAACTTTTCTAAAGTGCTGTTCAACTTTATTTTTCATACATATTTTTTTAATATATTTGTCAAACATATACAAAAACCCAAAATATATATACAAAAAATAAAAAAAATATTTAAAAGTAACAAAAAAGAGTTCTCTCCGGCGGGGAATCGAACCCCGGTCTCCCGCGTGACAGGCGGGGATACTGACCACTATACTACCGAAGATCTTGATAGTGTAGTTGAAAAAGCCGATTCAATTAGTCAAAACATATAGTTATTAAAAAAACTCAAGATATTCATAACAAATAAGATAAAATAATTAAATTAAATTATTTTACCTACTGAAATAAATATATATTATGAACCACTGTGAATACGGAAAATATATGTACAATAAAAATAAGTCACATTGAGAAAACAATTATGAATGATTTATTCCTATCTTACTGGTACTTCATCATGAGTTGGTTCATATTCATCGTCGTCTTCATCATCGGGCAGCTCCTGTGCTATCAAAGCTTCCACTTCAGGCCTCGTCTTTACTGGTATATGTTTTATTGGGGACAATTTTAAATTATTCCATGTTGCCGTACTCGGAGACACTTTCATCAGTTCCCTTTATAAATATTTCATTTAATATATTATTATAATTATACTTCATTGATAATTCTAATAATAAGACTTACTTACTTGTATTTGGATCTCGTAATTGGTTGAAGCCCATCTTCAGTACCTGAATCCATTTCCTCTTCTCGTAATTTCACAAGCGCCAGAACATGATCATTTGTTACAACTTTCTGGAATATGTTTGATTGAAATAAATTACTAAACTATTCATTTATACAAGAAACATTTCATTCATATAAGGAAATTATTAAGTCAGAACAATCTCTAACCAGTCCTTAGATTAAAAATACTATTTGTATAACCACAATAATAAATTTAAGTAAAAAAAACCCAGTCTCTATGTTAAAAAAGTATTTGTTTGAGATAGCACAACCACAGTTATGGTTTAATTTACTTAAATATAATATGTTAAATTAACTAGTGTTAATATTAACAGTTAAAAGAATCCATTGGAATATAATATTGAACATTTAAAGATAAGACACATGGAATTGCTATAATGAATTATAAGTTTTAAGACTATATGTATTAAATGACATGGGATGTACCTTTAATATTTTTTTTACACTAATATCATCCAAATTATTCTTCAATGCTGAAGCATGAAGATTCCTCTCAACTTCTAGAGTATTTTCTGGCAGTACATCATCTAGATCTGTGCTAGAATTGCTGTTACTTCTGAAATACATTTTATGTAGATTATAGTTGTAGTCCAATAATATTTGTTATATGGATATTATATTTTTCTATATATATTATTATATTATACAAGTAATATAATTATATTTATAGTTTGTTAAAAGATAACTTTCTAATGTATTTTGTCTAACATAATTTATTTTCATATTCCTGTTGTGTTTTTTCTACAACTTGTATGTATTTAAATTGAAATATGAAATATTATGTGATAACTAAGGCCATGCAAGTTCATATATAGTGAATGCTTATGAATATTGCTTCTGTTCTATTACAAATATATCTAACAACATTTAATATTACCAAAGTTATTTAAACTCCCAGAATAAATGTTTGTGATTACACTTCATACAAACCGTTTTCTTTTTCTACTGCGGTTTTTGAATTTGTTTTTGGAAGCTGAGTCTTCCAAAGAATAGTTATTATCAATTCCATCTTCCTTCTTTTTATCCATCTTATTTATTTTTCAACAAAACTTTTGGTAACCAAGTTTTAATTTATAACTTAAATTATTGAATCAAACGTGTATATTCCGATAATTCTGAAGAGTATATATGGCTTGGTACACAACGTATTCTTATAAATAACTGGTAAATTAAACTCCTTTTCGTCCGTTTGTATAACATAACATTAATACTTTAACCCAATTTCATTATGTGGATAAATTTTAAATAAAACAATAAACTTTGACGGATCACTGAAAGCTTAAAAGTATTTGTCAGTTACTGCATACAGAGAATAAAACGTTAGGAAATTTAAAGTTACGCCTTTTACCTCAAAAATATTAATAGTGTTCTAATATATAATTATAGTATTTAATTATTGTATTTTCACTGCAATCCTCATATTGAATAATATCTACATGTTTTACATAAACATTGTATAATTATAAAAGATAATTTATTTTTTTCAAAATTTATTATATCTGAAAATGAGAATTTTATAGAAAATTATCAAAATGTGAATAAGTGAGAGTATGAATATTTGGTTCCAAAATATAATCATGAAAATCTAACGCCAAAAAGGTTACATTCTTATTTAACCCGAGTATCTAGGTTTTAAGCTTTTTTTTAACTTTTGGTTTTCTCTATAAAGCATTTCTTAATATATTTACAGTTAAAACTTGCAAATCATCCAAACTGAAGTTAAATGAAAGTTTTTCGAAAAAGGTTGTGTTTTCAATTTCTATATGTATGTAGTTGTTACTAAAACTATTAAAATTTATATGAAAGCACAAATTAATTTAATAACTAATTAAGTGTTTAAATTAAGGGTAAACAATAATAGCAGTCTATGATTATAAATATATTTTATTTACAGGCAATAAAAAGTCACATAACAAATTATATTTTGCTATGCTAGCTTGAGAGCTTTTACATGAAATTCTTCTAGAAGTTTACTCATATCTTCAAAGCCAGATATCTCTTGCGCTTCTTTCAATTGCAGCCATTTTAAATCTTGATGCTCATCAGACAATGTTATCTTTTGTTCTGGATTTTTTAATTTAGCCAACCAGTACACAACTGCCTTTGGTTTGCCATTCACTGCATAGTTAAGAGTTTTAGTAATGTCTTGATGAATCTGCAAAATTAGACATCATATTGAATTTGTACTACTATTATTTTAATATTATACATGAAATAGGTATATAAGGTATATTAAGTATAAAGTTAGAAATATAATTACAACAAATATTTAGTATCATCTTCTTCTACCTGGCAATTTCTCAGCTTTAGCCAGGGTTTGCCTTACATGTTGTGAATAGTTTTGGCTAATTGTTTTACGACCGGCTGCCTGCCTGACATCAACCCTTTTTTGGGAATCAGCATTAATCAGTGATGTCTACATAATCTTAGAAAGTACATATGATTCGGAAAAATCACATTGGTACTTGCCCGGGCCAGTATCGAACCCGCGCCCTCGGCAACAAGAGGCGGGCTCTTTAACCACTAGGCCACCACAGACTTTAACAAAAATTTTGTATCATATTTATCATAATGATGGGAAGCAAGACAAACACAGCCAGTATTTCTGATATATGTCAAAATTAAATTTGTTTCTATTAAGAATTTAATAAAATTTATATTAATAAATAGGTAAAAATCTGTTTTAAATCTTTAATGCTAATTGTTGTACCTCTAAATCATTTTCTGTTAATCCAGCTTCTTCCTTTGTTTCTCGTAATGCTGTTACCCAATCTGACTCTCCTGGATCTACATGGCCTGTAATGATACCAATTATATATATTCAATTTTAAGGTTTTCTCCCATCAGATATAATAGCATAATCTAAAGTTAAACTTAGAATACATGAGGCAGATTAAAAATAGGTTTAAAGACTTTGTTCTTTTTTTTTTGGAAATAAACTTCTTTAAACCTAGATTAAAAATATGCCATATTGGTGTTTTCTGTGTGGAAACGAAAAAATAAACGAACAAACTTTAATTTACTTATTTACAAGTAATATTTTAAATTATAAATTTTCAAATATGCTTACATAATATAAATACCTTTTGGTGGAGTCCAATGGTGTTGGCCATAAGATGTTTGAAGCAAAAGAAATTGTATGTATTCATTGCTTTTTCTGTATATGACCAAACCTGCAGCTCTCGTTGTGGACATGGCCGAGAAATGTTCCAAATAAAAAAATAGCAGAACTAAATAAATCCGATTTAATTCTGAACTAAAATATTTACAATTGGATTATTATAATCAAGTTAAAGCAGTCTCTATTGCATTCTATGCACCTTTAATCATAAACACTTTTATTTTTATATGTTTTCAACAATAACATACGAATATCATAAGGTTACGCTTACATACCTTATAACTTGATTATTTACAATTATGTGATTAACAAATTCATACTTTCTGATGTTAATTATTGATATGTTTTGACATACATGTCTAATTTCTCGATCAAATCAACCCTTGTCAAGTGAAGGAAAGTAAGATATGTCAAATGAACATTTATAAGAATAGCAAAATTATTAAAGATATCTACAATATTTATGATATTTTATTTTTTTGTTTATATATAATATTACTTTTATATAAATTTAGTGACGCTTTTCACATAATTTTATTAAATACGATTGCTATGATGAACACATAAACTTTATGTTTGTCTGTTGAAAGACGGTTGAGTACTATAAAAAAACATTTCAAACTGCAACGGCGAAGTAACAACAACTGATTAAAAAACAATCAAATTTTAAGTCATTTGTTTGCTGGATGTATTATGTATTGTTTTTAATTTCTTTTATTGCTTTATCATTACTGTGTTAATTTAAACAAACTGTGTACTCATGTTTTAGTCGTATATTAAAAATAAAGTGAAGATGTTTCAGAAATGGAAAATAATTCTTGCGAACTGGGTATGTCACGTTATTAATGGTTCTAATTTAATTATAAAAGCGTGTAATGATACTTTTATCATTTTATTTGTAGTAAATACAACAAAAGTTTGAGTTAGATATTATATTTATGTTGTTTTTTTTGTCATCTGTTCCTATTCAGTAACGCCAGGTGTGTTGCGACAGCCTTGCATTGGGTGAAATTTGTAACGGTCGCTTAAAAAATATATAATTTGCGAAACTTATATATCATTACAACAGTCACTTAATTATTATATAATAATGAAAATAAAATGTCTCTTATTTAATGCGCTTTACTTTTTTTGCATGAATATTTATTATGAAATGTTTTATTCAAATAATCTACCTTCCTTAGATTAACTGCTATTTTGAAGAAGGCAGTCACGAAAAATTTCCAGTCACACAAGAATCATTATTGAACATTATAATACATTTGAGAGAAAATTTTAATTTGGATGAATCAAAATCTTCTATACTCCATGCACACACCATACAGGAATTTATATCGGAAAAATTCCCGAGTTTTAGATTTGAAAATGGTACAGTTGAACCGAACAGTGAAGAAGAAATATACATTGCAGCGTCTTTACTACTTTATTTTGTGTGTGTTAATTCTAAGGATGTAGACATTAAGAAGGCAATGTGTTCCAAGCTGGCGCCTGATGATCAGGAGATTATTCTAAAGTTCAGTAAATGTTTGATGGAATGTCGTAATATATCTTTCAGGGATGTCAGAACAGCTATAACAGGTACATTGGATTATTTAAAACACAAAAAAACTACTATTACATAAAAAAATATTATTTTCCTTTAGTTTGAATTTTATTTGTTGCTACTTAATACATATTTTAGCCAATTAAACCTTAATAATCAAGTGTTGAATTTTTTTGTCTAGAATCTTTAAATAAAAATGTAAATAAATATTACTTTCTAGAAGCATGCGGGCAAGATGCTGCCGGTCCACTCCTCACCGTATCGGAGACACCTCCAGCATTACGCTCCTTACATAGTGAAGTCAGACATCTTAAAGCTGCTCTAGAAGCTGAGAGATTTGACAGGAATTTTCTTCAAGAGGAATTAGCGAGGACTAATTCGAAGATGGAGAAGCTTGGTATGATAATAGTATTACTTTAATGCTTCACAAAATTTTAAATAGTCAGCGACATTTGTCATCAGCCTATCAGAGGCTACTACTGAGCAAAGGCCTCTTTCTCATATGAAGAAGGTTTGAGCATTAATCACCATGCTTGCTCAACACGGGTTGGTGATTTCAAACTTATAATTGTGAAACTATAATTCTGGGTTTCCTCACAATGTTTTTCTTCACCGTATGTCAGTAGTGTCTAAATTTATTTGTTTAAAATATTATAATTGTTAGTATTTATAAGCATTAACAAACTTTGCGGAATTACTTTTGATTCAAACACTTTATTCCAGTTAAAGATAAAGAGCAATATAAACAAGATATAGCAAACTTGAAATTAAAAATGCTGAGTTGTGGACAAGAGAATGAATCTCAGAATACCGAAGTTTCAAACAACAATGTAACCAAACTCATGAGGGATTTAGAGGAAACGGAGCAGCGCTTGGCCAATGTTCAGGAAGAATTGGATGAAGTGACTTATGAGAGAGATAGTTACAAGAACAAGGTTTGTTTGTTTGTTTGTATGTTATTCTAAATAAACTTGTTATATGAACTGTTACAAATATATATATACAGGGTGACTGGTGAATTACTATCAATATTTAAGGAGAATACTCGGTACATGATTCTCATTCGAATTATGTAAAAAAAATAGGTACTTAATTTTTGACCAAATTTCCGTATAAATAAATAAAGTGTGGACACGTTCCAAGTGTTCCAAGTGTGGACGCGTGCGGCGGCGTGGTGTTGTATCAGTTTGTGTGTGTATGTGTGTATACCTAATCTGTAGGGTGTTCACACGATGCATAATTAATTACATAACTGTTGGTTAACTTTACTTAGAAGTTTATTAATATTTATGTTATATTAATTTTTATTTTGTCATATATGATCGTCAAATATGACGTCCTTAAGTATCGATAGTAATTCACCAGTCACCCTGTATATACTAGCTGCGCCCCGCGGTGTTATCCGCAGATTTCCGGGATGTAAAGTAGCCTATGTGTTATTCCTGGACGTCAGCTTCCTGTATACAACATTTTATCAAAATCGGTTCAGCCGTTTGAGCGTGAAGAAGTAACAAATATACACACACACTCACAAACTTTCGCAATTATAATATTAGTAGGATTAATAATTCATTACAAATAGATTTCATTAACTATTTCAACTTATTCTTTTATTTTCAATATTCTCAAAATAAAAAATCGTTTTTTTTAAATTATATTTGAGGTTTCCACCTTGTACTTGGATTTGGTTGCTATATTTTAAATTGTAATCCATATATTCTTAAATTATAAAAAATAAATTACATATATAAATTTGTATTATATGATAGTATGTATTAATTTTTACCACTTCATTGTCATTAAGTGATCAATTTGTGGAAACTGTAATTTAAATTTTACGAAAGAGTTTTGTTCCAATACTTTCTATGACTAAATTATCAAATTTCGAATATCATTAATATAGAATGTCACTTCTAGTACATATCTCAACTAAATTCACGTGTTTATTAGGATTTAATGTTAAATAATGATTAGAGCGTATTTTTATTCGTATGAGTAAACGAGACTACTGCTTTCGGACAAACTTTCGGAACTTTATAATTTATAATGTTATAAATGTAAAAAATATATAATGCTTTCTTATGAGTGTTTGATACTCTTTCATCCAAAAATGACAAAAATAAAGGATTTTTATCAACCTTTCTACTAATGTAGCTAAGGCTACAGAATAATAAAGATTCTATTTTGTACCGAAATTCTACGATAATTGTCATGAAGTTTTATACGATTTTCCGTAAGGCTGATTAACGTATATTTTTTAAGTGCACATTTCCTCTACGTTCCTAAAACCGAAGTTAACTTGAATAAAGTATGTAATGAGCCGAAATTAATATAACTCTATACCTACTTACAATAATATTACTTTTTTATTAGGTGGAAGAACTTAAACGGGAACGGGATATGTTATCTAGTATGAATCAGGAGGAATCACTTAAGAACAGCCAACTGACTGAGGAATTGGAAACAGAGCGTAGACACGTGAACTCTCTGAAGGAACTGGTTTCAGAACTACGACAACACAACAGACTGAACGGCTTGGACTCAAGCCAGCTGGAATGTGATGACTTAGATGCTAGCGTACACTCACTACCCCATAATATATGTGCGTATTGTCAATCATAGTAATAATTTATTAGTCTCAAAGAAAAACATTGTACTTTCATTTTTCAATTATTAAGTACCGAATTATTTTATTATGTTAGTAGAAAAAGTCTTCTGTGGCCTGTGCTAGTCAAAAAATTATATTACAGGCACATGCCTGACTGCTCAGTAAAAACTTCAACAATAATCAGTTGCAAATAAAGTTTAAGATGATAATATCTTAAAAATTTTGTCTATTGAATTTGTTTGCAGTGTTTTAAGGTTTATAATAGTTTAGAAGTTATTTCAATTATGTTACAGCCGTTTGCAGCGAGGTATGTGTCAATGTGGTTGAGGTACAACTTAGCGAGGAGCGCGCTAAGATCGTAGTCCTCAAACAACAGATACAGACGTTGCAGGTTAATTAAACTATTTATATAAATGATTGTACATCTTATTTGTTTTTAATTAAAAATATGATTATGAGGTTTATAACCTATATATTAGAATGTTATTGTTATTCTAAATTTTTATTTGGATTCATTTCAACCATTTTCTTTAATGTTAGGATCAACTCACGGATGTACAGAAAAAGTTTCAAGAGGAAAGCGAAAAGTATTCTGCGATTGTTTCTGAAAAAGACACTGACATTTTAAATTTGAGACATAGGGTCAATGAAGAAATTGAAGAAAGAAATACTTTAAAAATACAGTGTGATAACGAAATGACGAAATTGAATAACGAGGTCAACGAACTCGAGCAAAGGTTGAGGGACACGAGCGAGAACTCCAGAAGGATAATAGATTCTAAAATTCAAGAGATTCAAAATTTACAAGAGGAAAAGCTTTCATTGTTGAAGAGTTTGAACGATGAAACAACGAAACTTGGCAATGTCATACAGGACTTGAAAACAAGCTTGGAGACCGAAAGAAGCTCTAAGATTAAAATGAG